GTGTCTTGCCAGCACAGACAGCAAAGAGGAGGAAATAATGGACTCACTGACCTCAGACAGCCCTAAAATCCCTGGAAAAAGGGCAAACAAGGAACACACAGGCACCACAGACTTCCCAGGACAGCAGCTCAAGGATTCTCTGGAGCACGAGCACACAGCCTGGGCTAACCATGGACAAGCCTTGGAAGGAGAAATGCTTCTCCCAAACAAGACTGATCTGGGATAAGGGGTGGGAAGCCAGGGGGAAGAAGGGGGAAATCAGCTGGGAAGTGAGTTTGGAACTCTGAACTTACCTCGTGTAATGCCAAGGAATGACCATATCTCATCTCCACCGAGTTCACAGAGTTGTTCAGGGGAAGCCACTCCTCAGAAATAAGATCATACCTGGGTAATAAAAACTGAATTAACCTCCAAGGAATAGGTATTAAAGCTGGGGAAGTCATGGCTTGTCCTTTTCAAGATTTGGGGGGAATTATTTACCAAAACAATATCATGATATAAATTATTATTTACTAAAATAATAAATCCTGCCATGATTCCAGCATGCACAAAGCTTCCACAAGCTACTTATGGATTAAAAAACCCAGTCCAGCCTGTTCTGTTACTCAACATTCACATATTGATTTGCTTTACCCTGTGTCCTTTCCAATGCAAATCCAAGAGTTAATGAACTGTCTATTAACCTGTGGCAACCAACACCACATCATCCCTCAAAAAAGTATAAAAACTTCACACTGACTCAGGTAAGTTCCAACTACTTAATAAAAAAAACCCTGTGAGTGCTCAAAAAGCACTTTCTAATTATGTTTTTGCCATTCAAGCTTGAAATAACACAAACCCCCAGCCCTGAAAATGGCCTGTGGCTCTTTATTTAAAATAATGCACTGTATCTGTCAGGCTTAGAGCCTTGTGAGATAAAATCATCCAAGAGAAAGTGTTCAACAAAGCCATAGGGCATCCCATTAAAAAAATGTGTGTTTTCAGCTCCTCTTTAATTTCCCCTACAAGAACTATTATCTCTGGATGTGAGTGCAGAACACACAGCTCCCATTTAGGTACAAAGGGAGGTACAAAGCCATGCCTGGAAAAAAAAAAATCCAGCTTTTGCCTAGTTCTGCCCCAATACCATCAAGCTTGAGCAGAAGCCTGAAAAATTGATGGGTTTTATGAGGGATTTCCCAATTATGACTTGATGTTTTAGTTACTGTTAAATCTCCTCCAGTTGCTGCTTAAACTTCCTCATCCTAAATGCCATTCCCTGTTTGTATCCCACCCATTATGGAAAACCATCCACAGTGATCAGGAGGTGTTAATTAAGGAGCCAAAGCCTCTGAAGTCACACAAATAAAACACAAGGGTTAAAAATTTGGAAGCAAAACCCTCCTTTAATCTGAGATATAATTCAGGAGGTGGCCCAGAAACGCAGAGTGAATATTTCAAAGCTGTCAGACACAGATGATTCAAAAACTCACTGAACATCAGGAACCTTCCACTTTTTCTTCTCCCAAATTAGCACCCCCCTGGCAGCATTTCCCCACGTCTCAAAACGTGAGCCTGGAGGTTTTTATCCAGGCTGGTTTCCCCTGGAGATGGAGCCAAAGCAAAGCACACACTCCTAAAAATAACTCCCAAATCTGAGCTCCTCTCCTTTTAGATTTTATTATCTGGGTTTATACTCACGCCAAAACCTTCTGAGAGTCAGAGTGATTGAAGACATAGCCCCCAACAATCCACATCTTGTTGTCATGGATGACAGTTTTGTGGGATGCTCTGGGAAGTTTGGGAAGAGAATATTCCTCCCGGGTCCAAAAGGACTGGTTTGCAGGAACAGGAATTGAACAGCCAGGACCTGGCAAAAGAAGGTTTAAAAATGAAGTTGTTTGGTTTTATTTTCCCCCCAAAGCCTGTGTTTCAGCTCGAGGTCAATCTCCTGCCAGGGCTGTAGGTGGTTGCATTTAATGTTAGACTAGTTTTTACATGTCAGGATGTCAATGCAACGGAAAAATGTGTGTTCAGCCCAAATCCCTGCCAAAACTGGGGCTGCTCAGCTCAGCTGGACATGAGAATGAGGAATGTTGTGTGTTCAAACAGCTGAACTATGGCTCAAATTTGCTTTAGGTGCACAGGAAGGAGGTTTAAAGTTGTTACCTGATGCCTACAAATCACAGGCTGGTCCTGCTGTGCATGGGGGCAAAGTTGCCTTTAAAAGCATTTTGTTAAAAATCACACAATCCCAAAATGGTTAGGGTTGGGAGGGATAATAATGATCATCTTGTTCCACCCCCTGCCATGGGCAGGGACACCTTCCACTAGCCCAGGTTGCTCCAAGCCCTTTCCAACCTGGCCTTGGACACTTCTAGGGATCCAGGGGCAGTCACAGCTTCTCTGCCCAACCTGGGACAGGGCCTCCCCACCCTCCCAGCCAACAATTCCTTCCCAAAATCCCACCTATCCCTGCTCTCTGGCAGTTTAAAGACTTTATCCTGAGGTGAATCTTCTCTCTGGAGTCAGGAGGTGAAGGCAGTTGCCTGGCAGGACTTGGCTTTGGTAGCCTGTCCTGGGGACTCCTGTAGCCAACAATTCCTTCCCAATATCCCATCTAACCCTTCCTCTGGCACTGGGAAGCCATTCCCCCTTGGCCTGTCTCTCCATCCTTTGTCCCCAGTCCCTCTCCAGCTCTCCTGGAGCCCCTTTAGGCCCTGCCAGGGGCTCTCAGCTCTCCCTGGAGCCTTCTCTTCTCCAGGGGAACCCTCCCAGCTCTCCCAGCCTGGCTCCAGAGCAGAGGGGCTGCAGCCCAGGCAGCATCTCCATGGCCTCCTCTGGACTCTCTCCAGCAGCTCCAACCTTCCAAATGGAATGTTATCTTTTAATACTAAAAAGCAGATACCCCGTTCCCGGTCGAAACGCTAACACTTGTCACTGGGAATATTCCCACATACTCCCAATGAATCTGCCAGTGCCCCACACGGAAAATGCATCCCAAAACTTCCCTCCAAGCCCCAGGACACTCACCTTGCCAGCCTGGGGAGCACACACAGGCCTTGGAGTCATTGCTGTTGCAGTGGCCCCTCTCAGGAGCCCCACAGTCCTCGGTGCAGTAGGGAATGTCACAGGCTTCCCCCTTCCAGTATTTGGCACAGTCACATTCCAGGGCCTTGGTGCTGCTGTTGAGTTTGCACTCCCCCCGGCCAGAGCAGTTGTTGGGACACATATTGAAACTGGGAACAGCAGGGAAAAGAATTGGTAAGGAAGGAAGAGCATTCCCAAGATTTATTACCAAAGAGGGATGCTGAATAATGTTAACACAGTTTGTTCCACCCAAACCAAGACCCTGCTGGGATGGGCCTGCAGGGATTTGCTCCCTCCCCTCAGGAGTTAAAAGTCTCAGCTCCCCTGAAAAAATTATCAATATGATTTTTAGCCACTTTTAATGCAAATGAAGCGCCCCAAAACGCCCAACAGCAAGAGAGGAACTTAATCAGCACACGAGGCTGTTGTGGTGTCTGTGCAATTCAGCCTCAAAGTGCTCACAATCAGGTGCTATTCTGGGATCTGCTCACCAAGGGAACAAGCTGGAGATGAATCCCAAGCCAAAGATGTGCCTGGTTCGAATCCTTTCTGATTTTATAACATCTGCAGAGTAGCTGAGGCAAAACCAGAGGTATCCTTGGTGAAGATCCAAATTTAGAGGCCACATTCACCTCCAAGGCTCCTGTTTTTGCTGGTGTATCAACCAGTATAACTCATAACTGGGGATTACTGCCCATTATTCTCTCTGTCACTGGTCCAAGACCATAATAATTTATAATAATTTCACAGTGTTTGCTGAGTACCTACACCCAGTAGTAACTGTGAGGACTGTTAAAAGAAACAAATACACCCTTTAATCTACTCACTGCAAAAATACTACGAGGAAAGCTAAAAATCAGACCACGAAACAGCACTGAAAAATTGTTTAAAATGGTCAAGAAAGTGAAGAATGAAAGGAATGTTATCCTTGAAGACAGTATTTCAGTGCAATGGTGCAAATCCAAAAGCTGGCAGTAGATGGAGTCCTGGTTTACAGGATAAGCCAGGCTTGGAAAACGCTGCTCCTTCAGCTCCTCTGCTTCAAGCACCTTTGTGAAGGCTTCTCGTTTTTTCTGGAGCTTTCAAGGGGTGCTGGATGTCCCTGGTTTCTCAAATAATCTGATTTTATGTGGATTTCCAAGCACATACTTATGTGCTTACTAAGGATAAAAGCACCAGGACAGGTGTTAAAAAAACAAGCTTCTCATTTCGAGAAAAACTCAATTTTTGCAAAACAGTCCCTCGTGACCAAAGCTTTTGCAGCTGATTTTTTTTTTAAAAAAGGTGAGAACTTCTGCATGTTACCCCCAAATTAAACCTCCCAGTGTGGCACAAACATCATTTGCATTTGTAGGAGCAAAAAAATTCAAAGCTCGTGATCCCCACGGAAGCAAAAAATTTCATCTCTGAGTGTGACCACACTGAGATCATTGACTTCAAATTAAGACCTTTCTAAAAGCAGTTGATGAATTAGGCAGAACCCCAAAATTACTTTTACAAAAGCTCATCAGCAAGGACTAAAGATGTCAATGAACAGAAAGCACCCACCTGTAATATATTTATAGTATATATAATATAGTACATCTTTGTATATATTATGTAAATC